GGCTGAGGATGGAGGGGACTGGCTCAGATGCACTTGCAGGTTTTGGCTTTGCCTCTGCTGGGGGCTGCTGACACTGAGGCCGAGCCAGCACCAATACTGCTGGTTTAATTATCTTGCTTAGAAGTGCGATGTTTTTACCAGGGCAGTTATTTAGATGCTGCCCTGAGGGGTAACAAGCTGTAAGCCTAACTTTCCTCGGTAGAACCGGCTTCMCGGAGCTCGTAAGAATCCATGCTGGTCTATAGCACCAGTTTAGCAGCAAGGCAGGCAAAGGGCATCCAACACCGCTTCCTCCTCTCCTCTTGCGTTAGGCRCTGCGTTCCCGTGCCGTCCTGTCTYGCSTGACATGGCAGCTCCGGATTTCCGATGAKGACAGTTATAATGAGATAAGAGAAGAAGCTCAGGTTTGATTAGAATCTCTGCCTTTTAAAAAAATTGAAGATTCCTAACTCGCAGTAAAATCCCTACCACGCAAGACCGTGTTTTACATTTTGCAAACCTTGATAGAAGAGTTTTTTCTGTGTAATCCCAGGTTGACGTTGTTCTCTGMATGTGTTGGAATCAGATGTTGGGCTGCCTTTCCCCATTATCTCATATTTTCATGTTCTGAGAGGGATTTCTGGGGATGTGTAAGAAATCAACGTTAAATGTAAACACACATCCTGCCTCGGAGCTTGTTTCGTTCCTGCTCTGCTTTAGGATGAGAGCTGTTTTACAGTTAAAACACTTCTCTTTCTACCTCAGGTTGACTCTGTAAACRGTGAAAGAGCGCGCTAGCTACTGCAAAGATGCACATGAATTATCTTTACTTGGGGTGAGCAAAAGGGAGTTTTGTTACCATTGCTATTCCCAGGGAGGGGAAAAAAAAAAAAAACACCCAAGAATTCCTCTTGTTGAAAGTAATGCGGAAATCTTCACCTGCCGATGGGGAGCAGTGGGAGGCCCYGGGGGCTCAGCTTTTCCGGAGGTTTGCCCTGGGAAGATCAAAAGCAAGCTGAGCATTCGCACTGGCACCGCGGGGCCTCCGGTAGATCMGTGTTTTTTCTCAGGAAGGCTGTTTAGGCAAAACTGTGAGCCTGGGAATTGCAATCCCAAGGGAAACCTTGCACGCCCTGGMTATCCCAGACAAGCGGCACCGCGTGGGTCCAGCGGCTCCCGTGGGCTGGAGCCCCCTGTCCCCGTGGGCACAGCCCGCCTTGCTGGGGACCTTGAGGCACGTGGCAAAATAGTGCGGACCCCCCCTGCTTTATGTGAACGTGTTAGGCTGCTGTGCAGGACTCTTGCAGCCTCCCTCCTTGCCCGTGTGCCAGGGTAGGGGCAGGCAGCAGCTGGCATGTTCGTGCAGGACAGCTCGSCCCCTTCTTAGCCCGCTTTGCTTTGCGGGAGTTGCTCCACATTTATAGGTGAATAAGGAAGCAGAAAAGCAAGCTGAAACACTGCAAGTATTTCGATGCCCTGCCCTTGCCTGAGGCTTTTCATTGCTGAATGTAGCCTAAGTTGGTCCTAAGTCAGGTAAAATCTCAAATGAAGCTGGAAAAAGTCAAGACGGGATCAGAACGAGACTGGTTCCTGCTCTGTCCTGTAAGGCAACAGAGCCTTACTTACTAGGAGTAAGACTTGAATGTGGAGTTCATTGCCAGTAAGACACGTATGTGTGTGTCTGTATGTCCCAGATCACTTCCCATGCCAAGAAATGCTCTCATATGGAAGCAGCGAGTTCAGTTACTGTGTCTTAGTGTTGGGAGGCATCTGCCTGGCTGGCTTTGGGTAAGAAAGTTCTTTGCCTGCCTTGTAGCCYTGCAGCCAGGAGTGTGCTGCCCACCCCTGGGCCGGACGGGCTGCTCTGCACCTATTGCAAGGCTGCATAATGCAGCCRTTGGCTGTGCGAGTTGGGGAGCATCCGCTGCCTCCTTCACCAGGCTTGCCCCTTTGAGCAGCTCTGAACCAAGCGGGCAGGGTCGGCGGCTCGCACGGTACCCGCTGCCCTTCCCTAACGCAGCAACCCGCGGTGCCCCAACCCWGCTCTCCTGCCTTGGAGCTCACCAGTTCTGCACATGGGCAGCRCACACAGCCGTCGTGCATCACCAGCGCATTCCACTGGAGTTACTGGAGCGGGGGCCTCGGGCCCCTGGGGGAACCCGCCTGCCTTCGCTGTCTTACAGGTCTATTTGGTTTCTCAGTCACGTGCAAACTGTTCTTCGTCGCTGCTTGCAAGGCTACAGGATTTGAGAAGCTGGTGYTCCCTCGTGTTACCCAAGTGCAGCGTATTAGCCTTAGCCCGGGTTCCGTTCCTGCAGCGTTCCCGTTTTCCTTCGGTGTGCAGCGCCGCGGGGCGTGTGGCAGCACCGTGGGCTGCCCTGCTCCCCGGGGGCTCCCCGSCTGCTCTGCCTGTGCCCGTTCCCCGGGCCAGGACACGGAGCAGCGTTGGCAGCAGCAGCCTGGCACAGGGCATCGTTGTGCAGGGCATCCCGGGCGCCTGCTGCTCCCGCCTTGTCCTGGGATGTGCAGGCGCCRTGGGAAGGGCCATGCAGAGCGTGGAGATGCTGCGGGGCAGAGAAGTGGCAGCCTGTCCGTAGGGGCTGCTCCCTGCCGGGTGCTGGCCCCGGTGCTGCCAGTGATTCCGTGCAGCGTGCTGGGCAGCGAGGGGTCCCCTGTGCCCCGCGTCGGGCGGGACTGAGGGACCAGCCCTTCTGTGCATGGGCTCCTGCTGCAGGAGAGGGGTGGGTGGCTGCCCACAGCTGGGTGTGCGCTCACAGGAACCGTCTGTGCTCGCTTGTGCTGGGCCACAGAGCACACTGGTAAATCTAATGTGCACAGGTACCCTTCCGGGCGGCAGGCTGGCCTGGGATAACAATTCCTCTTCATTTTGTATTTATCCAAATACATAAATAAATACTAGCCTTATAGGTGTTAGAAGGAATGGAAAACAATACTTGAAAACCAAACATTCAAAAAAAAAAAAAAAAAAGTAGTTTCAAGTCTGGATATGTGTTAACAGAAATTAACACTACCAGGTTAGAGGCCATCCCGTTGGGAAGATAGGAGGCAGTTCTGGAGACCTGTGCTTCCCCATGAGTTCTGTGAGCGGAGAATATGTTTTAAGGGGTTCATTCTCATTTGTATTTTAAAGCTTCTTATTGTGAGTGCAAGACCAGGGGCTACATCTTCAGCTGGCATAAATCTGCCTGACTGCATGGAGATAAACTGTTTTACCCGGGCTTGAAGATCTGGCCCTCGAATGTAAGAAATGGAAGCAGGTGGATGTAATTTCTCTAAATTTCCACTTAAGCTGCACATGCCTGGAGCACCAGCGATTGAACAGTACTTTCCCTAAGAGTAAAAAAGTTATTAGCTTCATATTTGTGTTAGTGCTTCACTGCCCTCCCTCTTGGCTTGATCATCACACGTAGCCACAGGCTGTCTCTGGTGATGATTCCATCTCCCCTATAAAATTAAAAATTACTTGTTTCATATCTTTTTAATAAGATATGTCCTTTTTAATAAAGGGCCCTGCTCTTTAACGGGTGATGCGCTGGTGAACAGCGGGCTCAGATTATTGCATTTTCCTGATTTGAATTTCAGTTTCTGCATTTCAGCTGTAACAAGCTAAAGTAAAAATCCCCGAACACTCCACATCTGCAGCACGAAGACAGCGGTTTTGCTAGCACTGCTGGGCTGAAAAGGCTGCTCAGGCCGAGGGGATGGGTGGCTGTTACCCCTCCTGATGTGAGGAACAGGTTCTCTCTGCATGTGCAACACGGGAGCAGGGAGAGGCATAGCTGTGGCTCAGGAACGTGCGGGCTGGGTCTGTGACGTGCACCGAGCACTAACAAGATCCCATTGTCACGGGCAGTTAATGCCTTGAGGATGAATGCCCCGTAAAGGATGAAGGGCCAGGGTGTGATGATGCAAAGGAGGGAATTGGTGGTGTGGCTGCTGGTGGCGCGTGCAGACACGTGGTGCTCCCCACTACTCGCTCTTGTTTTCCGGGAGACGTGAACACCAATCTCCCTCTCCTTGTTTAGATTCTTTCATCTGCAGCAAAGACTCTGATCCCGCAGCAAAAGCAGCGAGCCCTTGGGTATGATAGTGGCACTGTTCGGCTGGCGAGCCGTAGTTCATACAGTGTCAGCCCTTAGAATCCTCGCTGGATCTACAGCTTTATTTCTCAGCCGTGCAATGTCTGGGAAATCCCAGGCATGAGTTCTACCCCATCCTGGATAATTGCAGGCTGACTCTGTGATCAGTCGTGGAAATTCCGGTTGCTTTTTCTGTTGCTCTGACCCGTTGTGAGGTGGTGGTGTGTGCTGCTGAACAGCTTCAGGTTTTAATGGTGTTTAAGGATAGTGTAGCATAAATAGTATATGAAACATATTCAGACCTTCTGAGGGGGGGAAAAAAGGTGGTAAGAACACAGAGAACTTGRTGCAAATCCAACTATAGCAACTGTCTAGGCAAACAGCATCACTCCTGTTGTTCATTTTGAAAGTGGCAGCCTTGCTAACATGTCCAGGGTCACAATTCAAACAGCTTTTTGCAGCTAGAAATACACTTTGGATCTGTTTGCTACTAATATGTTGTCTACGAAACTGAAATGAAAGCAACTTTGTGCTTGTAGTACTTGTGTCAAAACATGCTGTCATCCTCCTTCCCTGCCGGAGCGCCGAGCTGCTGTGGAAATGCACGAGGCTGAAAATGAGCCCGCTGCCACGAGCAGATGCCCTCTGTCACTGCCTGCTCTGGAACAGTTCTGTGCCTCTGAAGTAAACGACTACCTAAAACTTTCAGAAATAAAAGCAAGTTTTCAGTGATACTGAGATTAAYGTGAGACGTTCTGGTGGTATTAAATCTAACGTGGAAATAAACAATCTGTGCCTTAGCACCTAAGTGAATAAGCCGTATGCTAGCCTCAGAAAAAAGGCAAAGGTGAAATTCCAGAGTTTTGCTGACTACTGACTTTATTCAAATAACTCATGCAGGTTTCCTGCCTCTCTGTTTAGGTTATTGTATTGGCTCATCTGCTGCTGGGCTYGTTTCAGACACGGCCCTGAAGCAGCTCCGAGCCAGATATTTTCACAGTTGGAWTCACAGGAGTTTAGAAGCCTTCGGAAAGAGCCCGTTTCCACCCTGGACTGCAGTGTGATTAATCGGGAGCTCCAGCGGAGGACGCTTCCAGGTGATCAGTATCTGCTCAGCACAAGGATTTTGCTTCTCCCCTGTGAGATCTTCCACGTGTAGGATGGGTCGTTGATCCAAGGGAGCTGAGTGCGGGGTGCTGAGCTGGGCAGGGCTCTCGGGTGCCTCCTGCAGCCACATCGCCCAGCGATGCTCCAGGGCCCTGGCTGGCACTGTCGGGCTGGCAGAGGCTTCCTCTAATACCAGGCTCTAACATCTGCCATCCTAGGCCTTAGCACTGTCGAGTTTCCCCCTTTGGGGGCTGTATTCCCATCACTGCATCCTCTCCTCTCCCAAATGTTCAAAGGGAGTAGACGTAGGACACGGGGGAAGACTGCAGGGGATGCAGAGCCCGTCCGCCTGCCGCCGTCCCTGGGGCGCCGCAACAGCCTCTGCTCAGTTTATAGGGAGAAACTGTCTTTTTTAGGGACTAGTGCAAGCAGCTAGTTTATAGGGAGAAACTGCTCAGTTTATAGGGAGAAACTGTCTTTTTTAGGGACTAGTGCAAGCAGCTAGGATCAGAAGTAAAAATCCACTTTTTAATTTATGTAAATGTTTAAAATATTGTGGGCATTTGTCATCTTGAGTAGCACTCTTTCTAGCCTGGCTTTTAATGTCCTTCCTCCCACTATTTTTTTAATATTTTTTCTAAGTAATGATGGAGAAGAGTGCATTCCAGGTGCATGAGCCAGGAGAGGTTTACTGGTTGAGGTTCAGAAATTCCTAGCCCGAGGTGGAGGGGGAAGTTGGAGGAGGAGAAGCAAAATAAGAGAAATGAAAATATAAAAGTAGGCTCCACCACCTGCCGTGTAATGATCAGGTCTGGAGATAAGGCTGCTTTAAGGTGCATTCCAGACRCACGGGTCCTGCCCAGGCACAGCACAAAAGAGAAGGGAGGCTTAAAACAACAGCCAGCTCCTCCTCCTCCTCCCCCAGTCAGGTGTGCCGACATAGGAGAGAATGGCTCCCTCTAATAAAAACCTCCCTCCTTGATGATATTTTCTTACATCTTTAACTCTAAATCCCCTTTAAACACATGCATATGTAGCCCTCTAATCAAACGGATTCCTGTCACTGCAGGTTAAATGCAGCGGCTCCAAAGCAAATCAAAATCTGGGATCACATAAGCAAGTGGTACATGGGGTCTGGAAAATGCTGCATCCCTTTCAGTGACTGCTGCAGGGGTGTTTGTGTCGTTAGGGASGATGGCTTTAGATTTTACCCATCTCTGGGGAGCTGCAGGCGTGGGAAGAGCTGCATGATGTGGCTTTGTAAGGCAATGCTAAGGTTTCTTCGATTAGTTTATATACATATTATTTTTATGCTCCTGTGACAGAGCCATCCTTACAGGAGGCAAGAGTGAGGCCTTTAAATTTGAGATGCTGCTGATAGTACTACAGGTTTACAGCTCGGGAGGAGATGTGTTTGTCCTTATGACAAGAATAATATGAATTTGCCAATTCACGGGGATTTGCCCCAGTGAAAGCTGAGGAAAGAACAATGGGCAGTTGTTAGAGCATCGTACAAAACTGCTCGTGTGATAAAAGCGGAATCGCCCTGTAAAAATGTGCCATAAAGCCCCTAAATTTCAGCTTTGCTTGTCATGCTAACTCCAAGTAAATTTGCTCTCTGCTGGATTGTAAAAATCAAGTAGTAGACAATAGTTTTTGATGCAAGAATAGGAACATATCTTTTCTTTGTCTTTTTTGTTGTTAAGATAGTTACATTAAGAAAGAAAATTATTGCATCCTTTAATCCCTACTTTTCAAACTTCTCTAAAATTAATATTTCTATGCATGTTAACAAGAGCAACAATAAGTCACAGGACTGTGTGCTTTACTTTCACGTAATAGAGAGCAGTATTTAAGTAGTACCAAAAATCTAATTTTTGCTCTGTAGTTATGGTACGTGTGTAATGTTTAATTTGGGAGGAAAACCGCTCCTTTTTAGTCAAGGAATGGTTTTGCAGCTAGGGATCTTGTTAGACCCCAACGTGAGCGTGCTGGGAAGCGCCGGGTGTTGAGACTCCTTGTAGGAAATGAGGGACAAATTATTTCAGGGTTTGTCTTGAACAAAAGGAGAATTCTTTGGAAACCATACAGCCATATTAAAAAGTACAGAGAGATGCAGCCGCTAATGCCAYATTACTGCATAAATATTCAATGTGAAAAGTAATGAAACTCCTGAACTTACAAAGAATTAAAATCTCTGTTGCCATTTAATACTCTGCCTCTGGCATTTCACCCTCAGTAATAAATGATCTCTCTTTACAAATAACTAGCTTTAAAATTAAATCCTTGTAAGCTTTCCTGTGCCCTCGAGTGAAGGAACTTTATTTTAGCTGCATCTTCAGAAGCCTATGGAGGAAGGAGCCTTAAAAAATCCTCTGCTCTGTTGGGCACTGGTGTCACTCCTCCAGAGAAGCCTGCACAGCACCCAGGGGAGGGTGACATGAGATTCAGGGGGGACAGTGGTTTAGCCCTCGATAAGAGGGTATTTCAGGTGTAGCAGAGRATTTGCTTTTTAAGCACATCTTAGYGATCTACACCTGAGCTTTCAGTCTCTTTTCAGGGAGGATTTTTTTTCTCTCTTCCTCTTCCTCCTCTCCGGTGCAATTAGCCATTCTCATTAAAGCAGGAATGCCTTCAGAGGGGGGCACTGAGGAGAAACTGGTTTTGAGGGGGGATGCCTTCGGAGGGGCCTCGGGGTAACCCCCTCCTGCAGGGAGCCCCTTGGCTGCAGCTCCGTGTCAGGCTTGGCCAGACTCCATCAGCAAAGCCAGACCCAGGCCGGGGGGTCGCTCGGGTCGGCCTGGCTGCAGCTGGGGCTGYGAAGGGGGCGAGATGCAGCTGGGCTTCCTTGGAGGCGTCTCCTGACACACCACACAGCTCAGCTAATCGCCTGGAACGAGACAAAATGGCAAAATATTTCTCTCTTTTTTTCCCTTTATCTCTCTCATGATGATTTCCAGGTGCCTCCGGGGGCATCTCCCCAAACCAATTTCTCTTCCCTTTGCATAGTGATAGAAATAACTGCAAGATCAATGGTGCTCCAGCTTGGGAGGAGCTAGTAAAGACAGTTTTATTTCTTCAGTATTGCCTTTAGCTGTCATAAATACTACCAACATACATTTCTGAGGAGGACTGTAGTGCTGAGCTGTTGGGCTGAGTTAATAGCACTTTTTGGACACGTTTGCACCCTGCCCACCCAACAGCATCACGAGAAGGGTGGCCGCTCTCCTTACAACCTGTATGGCTTCCCGTGCGTCCCCGTCTCGCACCCTTGTCTCTCTTGGAGCCCCTTTGTCATCTGTGGTTAGATCTCAACCAGCCTCTACAGGACCTCTGAGGTGAAGCAGTAATAATCGTAATAAGTCACTGCAGCGTTTTGATGTGGAGATGGACAATCCTCCATTCTGTTTGCCTGAAGGGCACAACTTCTGTCTCTCCTCAACTAAGGAGAAAAAAATCTTTCTGTTTTTATTAAAAAAAATATGACAAGTAGTAATAAATGCTTGTGTGAAGTGCTGAAGGCGCCTCTCTTTATATCTATAGGTGATGGCTTTTTCAAACAGTTGTGTTCATAAAACCTCAGCCTGCTTTCTCTCGTCTCCCAGAGCCATGCTTCAGTCTGACACGAGCTGCACAGCCGACCAGAGGGCAGGAGCACCTGGACTCACGGCAGGTTTTTACTCTCACAGCAGTGTAAGCGAGGACCTTTGCTAAACTGCTGTGATAACCCGTGTAAAGGACTTTTGCAGGTTATAATCTTTAATTGTTTGYGTTATAGACACTTTTACGTCAGGCCCTTTGCTGTGCCGTTGTCTGGGCCAGCAGTGCTGCCTTYGCGGTAGGTGCACAGCCTGGACAGCAGGTAGATTGGAAGGGAAAGGAAAGTTTTAATGTTTTAACCAGGTAGATTGGAAGGGAAGGGAGGTTGTTTTAATGTTTKAACTGTGGAGCCCTGGGCAGGCTGTGTGAACTGTTTGGAAGCTGGAACAGCCGCTGTCTGTGCCTCTTGTCACCCCGTCTAGCGGTTTCTGGACATGAATCTACTAGTGTCCTACCCTTCGCACCCTCCTCTGCGCTGCTGGTCCCCTCYGTGGGGCTGGCAGCTCTGGCCCTGAGCTTCGTCCTGCGGGATTTGGCTCCCGTGGTGCCAGGCACACGTGTCACCGGCTGCCTCGGATGTCCCTGCGCCTCTCTCACCTGCTGCTTCTGCCCAGCAATTCACGTGAAGCCAAATTTCACTCCTACCAATTTGAATTTTTATCTCTGTAATGGTTCCTGCTCTCCTGTTCCCCTCGTATTTCAGTAGATTTGGCCAACAATGGAGATGTTTAAATTTTATTAGAAATGAATGTGAAATTCAAATTAGGGTCAAAGTAGAAAACGTGTCTATAAATATTTGAAAAGCTCTGAGTCGAGGCAGGCGTCTCCCGTTTTGGGTCAAAGGAAGCGCTGCTCTATGGAGGTGTCTCAACTTTGGAGCTGACAGTTTTATACAGTCTTTAAAAAAAATTCACACCAATTTAAAATGGGCTACAGCCCACAAAAATAGGTTAGACTAGCTTTTTTAATCATTCCCTAATTTTAGTTTCCTTATCATAATGCACTGTATAGCAGTCTGACTGTTCAGTTCATTTCTATTCAACTCAAGGAAGCTTCCTGGTAATTACTTAGTCCCGTCTATTTCCCTAAGGTCTCCAAATGCAAAACAATTCTTTGCAAGACAGAGATTACTTTCTACAAGCTTTAACACAAAATTTAAAAGAGCATTAAAATGATGCAATCTGTGGTAGAGTTTCCCTGTTGAACCATTTTCTACAGGACTTCATTTAGGAGATATATATCACACACGTGTGTGTGTGTATATATATCAGTATATATTTATACGTGTGTGTGTGAATATATATATCAGACACTGTGATTTTTGTGTAAGAGGGCTTTAAGTTTGTCCTTGATCTTACCAGTAGCTGCAGAGTAGAYTTCATTTTGACATCATCAGGGCAAATTCTTAGAGGACACAAACTAACATTGTGTCATGATGACATCATCAATTCAACTTAATTCATCTCTGCATTCTAAGAGCCTACTGTAAAAGCAATAGCTCTCATTTTTGTCACTGAACTAGCTCACTTACAGCAATCAAGAAGTTAGTGTATCATTCTGCTGCACCTACTCTGTTAAACTCCCTTAATTTCCATTGCCACTTCTACCAAATTGATAAAATAGTTTTCCAAGTGCAAATTTTCAATAAAAGGATTTTCATTTCTCTGAGAAAAGAAAGAATAGGCCTATGTACCAATTTATCCTGATTATGTGGCAGAAGTTGTAAAGATTGACAGATTTCTTTGGTGTGTACAGAACAGCAATATAGTTGCAGGTAAAAYGTACAGAAATTCCAGCCTCTGCCATGGCAGTTTATTCACGTGGGTACATTTCTTTGAGATGCGGAGCAGGGACTCAATGTGCTGAGAGCCAAGGAGAACCAGGGTGATGGGGGGGCCCGCGGCGCAGCGTGCCTGGGTGACCCCCCCCCTTTCCTTGGAGAACACGGAGCAAGGGGAGGAACGCAGGGAGTGGAGCAGACGTGGTTTTAGGAGCCTAAAGGGAAGGTAGGTGGCTCCCAGGGCTACCCAAACTGATGAAACTGCATTTGTTAGGAGCAAGAGCTAAGAGCAGGATATATCTGAGGAAGCACCAACTTGGGCTCCACGTTCTTGAAGCCATCCTGAAGAGGAGTGTAGCTGGAGGGAGCTCTGCTGTGGGATTAGGTAGCGCCTTGATGGTGAACAGCAGCGTCTGCTCGTGGGATGTAAAGAAGGGCTCCTTGCCATCCCCTCCATTCCCTCTGGGTTGTAGGAGCCTTCATTTGTCATTAGTGAAAAGATTTTTTTTTTAAATGAAATATTGAAAAACACTATAACACATGGCTTTGGTGAATACCAGTGTAATTTAATTGTGATTTAGCCAAACCTTCCATTGACTTGTTAAATTATGCCTCTCCATCACCTGCTTTATGGGTTYCCTTGCTTTTTATCTTGCAAGGCCCATTACTTATTAATTTGCCCATAATACATAATGGAGGTAGAAAAGCATAAAGCATCCCATTCAAAGATGATTTACTAGCCTGTTAGTTCTGAAGCAACATAAGAAAGAGCAGACATTTTATGAGTTTCCTCTTTGCCTGTTTTCTTTGGAAAAATATAAAAAGCAACACATATGAGATCATGCCCAAAGAAGTCTTTACTTCATAACTCCAGCTCCTGCAGCTCCATGGAAGATGTGATCTGTGGAAGATTATAGAAGCAAAGTCAGGACAGAATTAGCAGGAAGAGGGTGAGAAAGATTTACCTCATACTTATTATGATAATGGATGTAATATCCATGGAAATGCTGATGGGCTTTGCTTAGAGAGGAAGAACTGCAGGCAAAGAGCAGATACACAAAATGAGCATTATTTATTCACATCCCCAATCAAGCTGCTGCTAGAACGTTCATCTTCCTACAGGGAGCTCATGAGAAACTTTGATTCCCTCGGTATTTGAAGCAAATAACTAGCACGTAGCATGAATCAGAGGGGCTCATTTAGGAATGGAGAAACTATTATTCATTCTGCTCTGGCGTGAATGAGCATCTGGCAGCACATTCTAAATTTCTGTGAAGACAACAGGAGGCAAAAGAAAAAAATTGGAGCTCCATATTCCTCTTGTCAGCTCAGCAGGCAGCATATGAGGATTGCAGGGAGGCAGCATAAAGACGGATCTGCTGAACTGAACCTCTTGCTTGTTCTCCGTTTCCATCTATCTATTCTTCCCAGCTCTTTTTAATGCAAACTTGGGATCCAAATAAAATACATGAAGATAAATTCAGCCTCCTAAGTGCGCCAGGTTCTTCCTGAAGGTTGTGTCCTAGAAGTTCATACATTGCTGAAGTTTTACAGGGGGCCTGAGAAACTCTGATGCCGTTCAGCTGCAGCTCGTGTGCTAATAGGATTCCTCAGGTTTGCCTGTGTGTGTGGAACACTCRCTGCACAGATAATACTCAGAAGAGTTAATGTGCTGTACTCCAAAAGCGTTCGGAGCAGTCAGCAGCAGAGTGATGAAGTGCTTATTAACCCTCTTTGGAGCAAAATCCCACACTTAGGTCAGTAGCTGACCAAGGGCTGAGGAGTTTCTCACAGGAGAGAAGCAAAACGGCCTGAAAAGCATGCAATTGGAAGAAGTTCATTTTARCCTTTTAATGTTCCATTATTTACAATGTGACATGTTGTTTGCTCCGTTGTTTATCCATTGTTTATCCATTTAGGAGGTGAAATGGGAACTGAGCAGGCTGTTGCATGTGCACATCGTTCTGTCTGCACAGAACATCCGAAGGAGGCCGAGAGGGCTCGGGGGCTGCAGCACCGCCCRGGTCGCTCTCCTGGCTGTGTCTGTCCTGCTCTCCGCAGCTCCCGGCTTTACGGGAAGCGGGAAAGCGYGGCGCTGCTCTCCAGGATTTCCAAAGAGACCCAGCTAATTATAAGGGGAAGGGATAGGGCCATGTTAGCAACGGCTTTATATTTTATTTCTGTTTTTAAAAGCAGCAAGGTTGGAGGTAATTCTGCAGGGCGGGAAAGTGGAATTTTCCTGTGGCTGCGCAGACTTGTCTTGGCCGCAGGAATGCGTGCAAGATGCAGCTTGCTTCCTTGGCTATTGTCTGCATTCATTCGCCCTCCAGGTGTAGGCAGCTGCTGATGCTGCTCTCAAAGTTATGTGACATTTTTCTCATTATTTTTTTTTCTTCCTGGCCTTTTCTGTCCTCTGTCTGCAGTAGTTGGGGGGTTTTTTCCCCCTCCATTTTTTTTCCTGTCACTTTCCTATAGTTACTTTAAACTGCTAGGCTTCCCAAAACAGATAATCCTGTAGGCAAACAGTGTTGTTAAAACAATCCTCCATTTGTGCTTTTTCTTGTTTCTTCATGGCAAGAGCTTTTCCTACAAGAAAAGGTTTTTTCTTCCTCATGTTCTCCCCCCTTTGGTATGTTATTGAATTGAATTCTTCCTCATTTTGCAGATGAGATTTCAGGAACTATTGATCTAATATTTGTTGTGTCAAGCTCACAAACATTAAGTTAGAAAAGCCGGAGCCCTCGTTATTTTTGAAATTGCAGTTATTTCCGCGGGTTCATTTCAGGAGGGCAGGATTCCGCGGCCGGGCGCTGTTTGGAGGAAGGTGCGTGGAAGCGGCCGCGCTCGGCCCGCTCGCAGCCTCTGCCCCRGCCGGCGAGGAGTCACGCCGCGCAAGGGCCTGTTTCTTATCTCACGAGGGAGCCCGAGGTGACTAGTTTAGATCTAGACGTTTAGACTGATGAATCACACACCCTCAAGGCCCTCTAGAAAATGACCAAAATTTGCCGGCTTACGCCCCAAACCAGAAGTCGTTCTGAATAATTTAAATATTTTACTGAATAGAATGATCAAATATCTTTCAATAGTGTTGTGCTTTACTGGCAGAAAATGAAGATAAAGATTTTTTTCCCAGACCAATTATAACTTTTTTTTCTTCCCTGGGATAGAACAGGCAACTGTATTCCTTTTAATATGCATTTTCTTTAGTTGGCCTGTTTCTTTGTTAAATAAATAGATTAATTTACCCCTGCATGCAGCCTCCAGAGCTCCTTTCTCCTTTCCTGCAGCAGGTATTTCAAAGAGATTGCCAGATCAGACTCGCTTTTAAACCATCTGGGTTCTGTACTTTATGTCAAGGTTTCCAAACTGTGTCCATGTTTCCCAAGCCTTCAATGGCTTGTTTCAAGTTGATTTCTGTCCTTTGAAATGCATGTGTCCAAGTGTGAATTTCTCTCCCAGAAAACTCTTCTCCCCGTATAAACAGGTAATATAATGATGGTAGAAAGCTTCATTCTTCCAAGAGACCAGCTTAAGTGTGCTTCCCTGCAGGAATAAAAATCCACCCAGTGACATAATGCCTGCTTCCAAATCCCTTCTTACAGGTAATTTGTGGCGCTGGCAGATCATTTAAAATCAGGGCAAGGAGGCCAGAAAATGAGGCTTTGGAAAGTGATCCTTCATGCGCGGGTCGGGATGGATTCAGGGCTTCCTGCTTCCTTTCCGTTGATTTCCTTGCTGCCTGTTACTGAATCAGCCCGTGGATGCATTGCGAGCTCCCCCAGCAGAGACCAGCCGCTTTATTTAGTGCAGGATTTCGCACCGTGAGGTCTAGCTCTTTGATTAAATGCTCTAACGGCTGCCATAATAACAAGTTAATACTATTTGAAGCAATACATAGTTTCTTGTGCATATCCTTTGCAGAAAGGTATAAACCAAATATTGACTTCAAAGCATACATCTTTTTTTGAACATTATATTTAGAATGCCTTTTTTCAGTCAATTATTTACAATTAGAGTAAAGGGAGAAACCCCCTTCCCTAAAGAACCTGTAATTACAGCTTTTCCTTTCATGAAGTATAAATCCAGTAATTAAGTGGTTTCAAAAGTTTAATTCACTGGGCAATTAAAAAGAAAAATGCTGGGTGCTAAGGCAGAGCAGGGCAGGCTGCTCTGTGTTCAGAGCCTTAGGTTATCAATGGAGCTCTTGGCGGAGAGATTTTTCTATTGATTCTCATGGTTTTAAGAGGTAATCCTTTTAGTGTGCAATCATTACCAGTTCTTAACTACTTCTCTCATAAGCCACCAGTGAAACCATGATCAATAGAAACAAACTGACCGCAAGAGGCTTCCTGGCACCTAGGTGAGATATCAGCCCATTAGGCTGGTAGGAGGAAGGGATGGAGTTGTTGAAATACTCGCATTTTGAATTTTTGGAGCCTTGGGTTATTGACTTCATTGTGTAAGGGAGGAACAAGGCACATGAAGAGAGCACAAGAAACACTTGGGAACTTATTCTTGGCAGTATTAAATATTTCTTACTTTCCAGTGGCTTCAAATGGATTTTTATATTCTCAGTATATTTGAAAATTAGGACAGACTGACTCCTCTGTCTTGTGACTCTGCTATGCTGTATAAAATGCTCAGAACTGACTCTGCTCTTGCTGAAACTTTTCTTCAGGTATTTGAGCCTGTCTGATTTTGACAAAGTCTGGGAAACCCTGCAGGACGGTAGGAAACTTTGTTCTCCACAAGGTTAGGTGCCTTGTAAGAAGTCTTGATGTCTTTTCACCTTTTCCCTATTTGGTAATATGGTTTTCTCCCATGCTTCTCACTCTCCACCTCCCCCATTGCCTCTCCCCTTCCCTCACATAGGTAACCACACATTTTGATCAAGGTTTAATCTCCTTTCTTCCTTCCTTTGCAAACCCACCACCTCCCTGCCCCAGGGCGATCTGTCAGCTCCAACCCATCACAAATCAACTTGACAGTGAAGATCTCCCCTTGAGCAACAGCGCTGGGAGTTATACCCCTGCTGATGCTCAGATAGCGAGGGTGTGGTGCACTTTCCACATAAAACCTAGTCGCAGCAAAATGGAAGTAAATTTCCATTCCACTCTCGCCTTGTTTCGATCTTCTGCTTTCAGCAAACTGAATCCATAACCTCCGGAGGGTGTGAAGGAAAGCAAATGCACTCGAGCTAGGAGAACTGCAGTGGCAATCCCTGTGCCTTGCTGGCAAAACCTGGTGTCTGTTCATGCATCTSTCGTTGCCTTGTCTTTGCCGTTTTGCTGCGGCGCTCAGTACTTCAAAAACCTGAATTAAGCTACACAAACTAGCGTGCCTCTTATGCTGATAAAGAAAGTGAGGGTCAAATAACGTGAAAAAGATGTCCAAAATTGCTACGTGAAGTCATATAATGCTCTTATTTATTTATTTACTACCCAGTATTAAAAGCAAGGAGAAGTCTCACAGATGCCACTGAATCCTGTCAGTAACTACAAATAAGCTAAACCTTCTCTGGCTGCTCCTGGAACTAAATGAGTGACTGTGCTGGTGTTTTGGAAAGGGCTTATCCCTGCCTGCCCAATGCTACGGATTGTGTCATGGAGCTATCTTGGTCTAGGATAAAGACTGCATTTTTTTTTTCTTATTTTTGTTTGTATAACATTACAATTGCTGTGAGAGGAGGAAAAAAAAGAATAGAAATTCTAACTTGTGTGTTTTTTTCTTTTTTTTTTTTTTCCTCTTCTTTCTTCCCCAGGATTTTCCCAAGGTGGTGGGAAGCCTACTCATGCATTCTCATAAGAATAGCCTAGATACACCATAGAAAGGTAAGTATTTCTTTCCTTAAATAATATATATAAGTCAATAAGAGTGTTTGTAGAAGCATTCATTAACCTAACTCAAGTCAGAAAAATCCCCTCATTTCATACATGAGAATGTGTACCTGGTTTGTTTTTCAAAAATGTTTCACTATCAGAAGCAACTACCCCTCTCTGTATGGACAAAATAATTCAGTCAGAGTAAAAGACCTTAAAGAGAGACTGAGAGAGGGAAAAGGAGCCACTGCAAATCAGCTTCTAATGATAAAGAAAATTTACATAAATCTTGGAATGTCAAACAGGCTGACCAGACATTGCAAAATCTACTGCTGATTCARTGATTTTGGAGGCAGAGTTCGTTCAAGTGCACAACCTCTTCTCTGATTCAGGGAAGTGAAGCTGCAGCTATTACCCAGATTTAGCCAGAAGTTGAATACTTGCATATTTGATTTATTAGTTTTATAAATTGCAAGATCTTTAATGTTTAATGCTTGGAGCATACTGTAATTTTAGCTCCATTATTACAGTTGTTGACCAATGTACAAATTAGCTCCAAAAGCTTGATGTTCCTCTCAGCTAGGTTTCCCAGTCCAACTACCAATCCAAGGAAGCCAGCAGGGCAGGTACTTTCAAGGAAAGAAGCGAAAGTTTTGGGGTCAAATATGCGTGAATGTTCTGGAAATAAAATCAGAGAACCCCAGGGGAAAACAGAGAGATTACTCTGAAACAAACCATTGTCACTGCTACTGACAATACATAATTTTTTGGTCTGTAGAATATCATCTTTGAAATAAGTTGTAAGTCTTAAAATCCTGGAATAGAAGTTGGTCTATTAAAATACGCCCATCAATGCTTGTTGCTGAAGTGTCTGCCCACRTAGGCTGAACTCGGCATCGAAGCGCAGGTTTCTTCCCAAGGCACGTCTGAAATGGCAGCGCGGAGCAGGAATGTTCTTGTTACCTGGCCCTGCTTAGCCTCTTCTCTAGGGCTCTTTGCCTTCAGGAACTGTCACAATGAAACTCTTCCCACCAGAATTAAATCCATTTAAAGTCATTTTTGGAAACTGTCTGGGCACAGCCTACTGTAGAAATGAGATGGCACAGAACTGATTAAATGATGTTTATGCAAATACAAACGTTGTCAGGGCGTTTATTCTTCAAGATCCAGCTTGTCAAAGGCTCTGGCCAAGTGTCAGGATTACTGAGCTAGTAGGAGCTTGATCTCGGGTGGGCAGTTGCCAGAAGGCTGAGGAGCCCTGGCACTGCAGGGCTTCCCTYGCCATCCCTGGCCCTAGGAGGCCCCCGCAGCCCGCACAGCTTGCTCTCAATTCCCATTACTCTTCCACTGAGAGTCCCAAGTTTCTGCTTTTCAYCTCCTCTTCTCCTTAAACGTCCCGAGTTGGTCAGAGATGGTGCCTGTTATACAGTAACAGCTGCCCCGTTTTGGCTTTGTTAAATTTGAGTCCATCGAGTACTCCAGTAGATAATTTTCTTGTTAAAGGAACATTGGCTAAACAATATTTTAAGTGAGTCCTTATGCAGATGAAAAATGCTAGATTAAGTCTTAGTAGAAATATTAGTAAATTCTTTCAGAGCACCTCTCTCAAACTGCAGTGCTTTTTTACTAATCTACAATATTTTTCACATGGCATCTTTTAAACTTCGAGGCAGATGACTCCCAAGTTCACAAACAGCATGAGAAACCATTAATGTCATTACTCGTCAGAGGGAATATTTGCTTAGCTACTCAAATAGGAGCGTGTATTTTCCTGTGTTTTTATGACACTTTGAATATTCTTTTAAACAACAGGTCATTTGTGCAAGTACTCCAGGAGAGTGAACAAGAGATGTTATGACTCATGGGTGCTATTGAAACTAATTTTAAGCTTTCATTTGGACAAATGTTTGCAGATACTTTCCTACAGTATTTACACGGTCCTGGCCTAAGCTTCATTAGCTCAGCAGATTCAGTTCTCTGCTCCGATACCAAGCTGGCCAGCTGGAATCAGGGAATAATTTCATGTGGCATTTTCATGGGGAAGCCTGAGGAAAGTTAGCTGCTTGCTGATACGAGAGCAAGGAGTAAAGCAGGAGTAGCTGTTCTCCACTGGCCTCAGCCACATCTCAAAGCACCACTTTTTTGGGTATTTTTCTACGATCTGCTGTTTCATATCCTTTAAAAATGCAATTTAAAGTTGTGAAGCTATGTTGACTTTTTAAAGCACGTATAGCTTTGCTATACATCTAGGCAGTTACCATCAGCATAAAAATCTTGGMCTGACAGCAGAGAGTTCAGATGGACATTGAAAATGTCAAGGTGATATTCGCTGACTTACGTTTTTCTGTGCATCTTGGAAGGATGCAAAGAAGACTTCTGCTCTTGGCCAATATGGGAAACAGAAATGCATCCCAAATGGTGCTTCCTGTGTTATTTTGTCCATTTTAAACTTGTTAGACTCCTTTTACTTCAGAATTTAGCTAGAATACTGCTGAATCCCAACTGGATGGATCTGTATCTCATGTCTTCTTCTCACTGAAAACCCAGTTGGTTCAGAAAAAAAAAAAAAAAAAAAACCTTCGGGCTTTGGCCCTTCTCTGCCTTCTAAATGCACACTTTAATCTCCTTGGAAATACGAGTCCAATAGCTCCTGGCTGCCTTAATTAACTGAAATGAAAGACATTAATTTCCATAAATAGAAAAGCTTCCAAGAACAGCACCTAGCGATCCAACACAGCCACCCACCCTAACGTGCCCGGTGAGAACAACCTCGTGTTAATTAGTCCTCACTGAAGGAAGGAGAAAGAGTGGCTTGAACTTTATCCTGAAAGATGCCACTGATACGGATGGAAGCTGCTCCTCTGATCTTCCCAGTTGCTCTTAGAAGAACGTCCAGCATCATGAGTGCAACCAGGGCCAAGAGAGGAGAGCTCGCCCAACACGACTGCCTCCTTTCTGCCAGGTCATGATTTTGAGTCAATACAGACACCTAGTGGCCACAGAGTTGCTTTATTCCTTGGGGAAATTCTCTCCTTGCACCTTGATTATCTTTTGCATTTTATTTATTTATTTAAAAATACAAAAGCAAGAACTCGATGCTGATACTTACCCACCTCCTGCCTTTCCTTTGGTCCTAATTTGCCCGTAGCTGTTCTTAAGTTTTAACATGGGAACACTAAAGTAAAAATTYGTACCTGTTTTCACAAGGGGAAAAATGTCATTTTCACATTTATTTCCATAATCCCTAACGTCTCAATATGCCAGTGGGATTTTATTTTGGCAGCCAGCATCTTTGGCTGCTTTGAAGCTGCAGAATTAAAGCGGGCCATCTCCCATACCTACAGCACCACCTTTGGTGTTGGGCTTTGGCAACCACAGGGGATGCRTCTGCCCTTCAGTGGAGATGAAGACACCATTTTGGTGCAGATTTGATTGGCCAAAGGGTGCCCAAGCATTAAATGCAGCAGATCAAAATCCCAAATACTTTTACACCCACGTTGTAGAATGTTCTTCTAAKCATGGTCCAAATTTGAGTAGTAAAAACTCTGATTTGGCAGTATTCATGGAAAAAAAAAGAGAAAAATACCAATAGGATTGAACTGAGTCCACTGATTTGTGTCTGGGGGGGCAAAATAGTATTAATTCAGTATTGCACCTGCAAACATAAGTCAGTCCCTCACCAGGCACGAAAATACTCTGAAGACCATGAGGAAGTAATTGCTACGAATGCCTCAGTTGGGATATGTGAAACAGGTAACAGCATAACGACAACAGAGTACAAACGCAATAAAGAGAATATACTGCTCCTAGTAGCTGGCTAATCAATGGGCTGTGAAGAGACTGAAGTGATAAACTGTCTTGACTCAGGGCTAATTTTATTTTGTATAATATGTTCATAAAAGTAGTCTATTTAAAAAATAATTTTAGCTGAACTTTTCTAATACAGAGCTGTTTTGCCCTACTCAATATGTGCCTTAAAACAGATGAGGAAGGCAGAAAAATATTYGTGTTATACATATATAATTTAAACAGTATCATCAACTGAATATTGATTGCTGAGGAATGTGCTTATTAATTGATTCCTTTACATTAAATACTTTTCTCAGAGCTGTTCTGAGTCCATTTAATAAGATAAATGGGGAGCTGTAGTACAACACTTTGTCATTAAATGTGTAAGTCACATCAGACAGAAATGTAAAAATATGCCTCAAATAGCTGTATGCTGGAACGATCCACTGAACAACCGTTTGTTAAGGTTGTGGGAACAGAGGATGGTGTCATGATGGTATTGGACAGAGATGAGTCCAGATTTTAAAATTACAATCTCTGAGATCGTATTTCAGACATGAACTTTAGCTTCTTAGTTCTGCTTAGCAAAAAAACTTGGATGAAACGTTTCTAAATTGGACAACAACAATGAGAAGCCTTCCCTGTAACCCTCTCCCTGGTTCTATCCTGAGCTGTGGCAGGATCTCTGACAGTGCTTAGCACTTGGGGAATGCACGTGCAATACACCTGTGCTCAGTTAAGCTCAGAATTATAGACCTCACTCTTCAATTTGAGCACTTTTTCTCATGTCATCTCCAGCATGAGAGAAAGATGCCTTTAAACAAGTTTCCAAAACAAGGGAAGCCAGGAAGGCTCTTGCTTTACAACCATAATTCACCAAGATACTGCACTTAACTGTTGTCCTTACAAAGCTAGTGCAAAGAAAGAGATGGAGGCCTACCAGACACTTTCGACGTGGATCAGCAGTTTATTCCTGCTGCAGCAAGATGCAGGGAAAGCCCCCGTAACATTAGTCAAATACACGAGCCCATTGCTCGTGATGGACAGCTTTGGTAGGCTCTCACAGCCTGTGCATCTCTCCTTCCCTCGCTGGCTGTTCCCTCGGTAGCCTGGGTGCTCAGCCAGCAGTTTTTATTCTTTATTCTAGTTGCAGTCATCCACTGCTTTGTTGCTATTGTCTTCTTGGTTTTATTTGTTCTCTAATGGCAGTTACAGTCCTTTGGCTGGGAGCCGAATTTCTTCAGTTCTTTACCCATGTAGATCATTTCTTGTCTTCTGTTATTCTTAACAGGTTGTTAAAACTTGCTGACATTTTCTCTCTTTTGCMGTGAGAGAAATCCTCCCTGCCCGTTCTGTGCCATGCAGCTGTCTGCTAAGTCCCTCAGCAGCTTGTTCCCATCACTGTCACCAAGCTGCTTGGCTTTACCTATGGGTGAGATCTCTGAGGAGTGTGGATAAGAGCCTGTACATGTCGGAGGTGCTTTGGAGGAGATCCTCACCTTCCAGGAGGAGATCCTTCACATAGTGAGGTGAGTGCTATATCCAACTTTCGGTGCTACTTCTACTCTCTCATGTGCTGAGTAGACTTTCTGACCCACTGTCTGTTTAGATGAATGATGAATGGATTTATGAGCTCTCAATATAAAGTCTTAAATGTTCTTTTTTGTTGCTGCTTTTTTCTCCTTCATTCAGTGCCATTTAATCAGTTGTCTAAACCATGATCCTTGTCACAGCTTCAACTTTCTTCTGTTTGATCAAGATCTGCTGATATTCTCATTTGCACTCTGTACCACCAGGACCCTTCTTCAAACCCTGGGAGTCTTTAAGAATCCCCAAGACCACCTGAGACTGTCGTGGTTCCTTTGTGCTTTCCAGAATTCGACTGCCTTTGTAGGGAGTGATGGAAAATCATTCTTACATTTAGGGAAACAGGTTACACTGACCAYGTGATCTTCCCTGGCCACATGCTACTGCCCTGTGTGTAAATCAAATCATATATTTGTAGTATTTGTGTCGCCTAAAACAATCAAAACAGATCTGGATTTTTCATTTCAAATTCCTAACCTTTCCCAGGGTTCAGCTCAGTGGCACGAGGTCAGCCCATATCTGATCTRCAAGAGAGACTTGCCAGCCATGGGAATGATTTCTAAAAGCGTATTGCTGCTGCTGCAGCTGATAGGAAATTCAAATCCTCGCCCTGGAATGGCAAGAGGGTGACTGAGAGTCTCGTGACCCTCCTCGCAGTGGCTGGCCCTGTTGTCAGCCAACACCAGGAATGCATTAGCTCGGGAAGATATCCTTTAGCTGGATTTTCTGTGTGGGTTAAAACAACTTGATGATGTTCACGTGGCTTCAAGCATAATGAGTGCTAGGATGTGTCAGGTTTTTCTCTAGGCTTTAAAAAGCAGCAAAAAAATGAGAAAACGATCACAGCTACTGTGCTGCTTTGCAAGTATAAAGCCAAGAGCCTTCTGATTCCGCACGGCTGCCTTTCCCCCTGCTAGCGGGTGCAGATGCGGCCCTAAGCAGAAGGCTGCAGCTTTTACTCCCGCAAGGCCGGGTCCAAGGACCCAGTGTGGCAAGGCCACGCTTTGCCCTTGGTTTCAATAGCCCTGTGCTAATCTGCGGTTGGAAAGACAGCAAAAAAAATAATTTGGAAGTGCACATTTAGAGTGAGGTTTTGACCTACCTATAGTGAGTATGTATATGAAATTCAAAGCAAATTTTGCTGATCTGTTGAAGGCCACGTGAAGGCAGGAGAGGAAGCCTGGCACTTAGTGCTGTGGCTCTGCCCCGCTCCCCTCCTGCCCTGCTCTTTGTAGCTCTGGGCAGCAGGCGCTCAGAGTGATTCTATTCTCTTTTCAAACTCCAGGATTGTAATTCTAGCTGACACGGTGTGAAGTTTCATTTTTTTCAATTATTGCATGATATGCTGGGGAATCAGTTTAAGAGAAACTTCCCTCCCTGTATTTTTGTACTCACCAAATTTGTTGTTTGCAAGAAAACCGTTAAGGACAATGAAGGAAGAGAAATGTTATCCTCCGAGCACTGTATCTGGTCACGCATTTACAGGTATCTCAGCACCTGTCTTCCATCATGGCCTTGATTAATAACTGGGCTTTTGTAAAATACAGGCTGTTTTCATAAGAGCCACTTTGTATGTCTGCTCTTCGCCAGCTGACAATGAGACCTGGATCTAGCTGTGCAGTTTAGATCTAACAGCATGATGAATCAGAGAGAGCAGGTACACATTAAATGTGACATCAAATATAACTACTGTTGGGATATTGAACAGAGATATATCCAAGGCCTTGATATTCATTTACATCAGTGCTTCCTTACTCTCCTTGGGCTGAGCAAACAAGCCTTTCGAATGAGCATAAATGGTACGGACAGCCGTGTTAAACAGGATGTAAAGGGACTTTGCACCAATGAGAATCGGTCTGTACATATTTAAAATAGATGTGCACATAAAAAAAAAACCCTATTATTACCCGAGGATGGAGTGGGAGTACCAGGGGAATGGCTAAAGTAACAAAACTTGACACCAGTGATAATAAAAGAGGGAACTAAAGCGAAGAGATCACCCCAGTCTGCTGGGTTTTAAGTGCTTAATCAAAACTGACTTCTACTACTGCAGCTGCAAAAGAAATGTTTCTAGCCTCCCATTAATTTCCATACAATAACCCTCTAATGGGGGAGTTGCTGGGGAGAGGAGGGCGATCAATCTGCTGTAATGACACACTAGAGACTGAGGGAAAATGCAAACTTGGAGCAATTTCATGGCAGGTGCAACCTTGGAAAGTACAGCCATTTTTCTAAGTTAATTTGTTCCCTTGATATGTTTGAAATCCATATTTGTACTTTAAAGGTCTAAAATGCAAGATGATTAAAAAATATAACCAGATTTTTGTAAGCTTCTCAACTGCATCAGGTGATATATTAATGCCCCTCCTTGGAGCTAGGACAGCTGGATATCTTTTATCATTTGTTGCCGAAGAAGAGGAATAGGATTGTTTATTCTAGCACTCACTTTGTCAGTAGCCTTTCCATCTACCTCCCTAGCCTGAAGTGCATTTGTCTCTTAGCTGAATTGATCCCAGGTATTATAGGAAGTAATGATAGTAATAATAACAGTAACTGTAATAGCAGTAATAATTGTTATTATTCATGTCATTGTTAGTAATAACAGTACAATGTAATGATGATGATCATTGTGCCTGAGTTTTTTAAAAGCACTTAAATGAGTTAACAACTTAATTTCTAGTGCACTTCCAGTATCTACCTCTTTTGGACATTTCTGAAAATTCCAGTTAAAACTGTTAAAAGCGTAAACRTATTTAGGTAGGACCAGCAACTAAGGAGAGAATTCATGTTTCCCTATTTGGCTCCTTTTAGCATGCTTAAGTATGTAAGCAAAAGAATTGATCATTTAAATGAGATTGYAGGATTCATAGAGGCTCGATTATGTCTCTCCAAGTTTGGTCCCAAGTCAATGTAATGAAGTATCTGCCTAATTTTCAGTACATCATCCAAATCAATGTATTGAAATTGAACATTACAGAGAAGGTAGCCAGAATGATCAAAACTAGCATCTAGCAGCCACCAGAGGAAAGAAAAACACCCGAGGACGGCCCTGTCCTCAGCGCTTTGGAGAACTGATTGACTAGTTCACTTGCAGGTGCGTGGCACAAGAAATCTTCATTTGGATCTTTATTTATTTATTTATTATATCTAAAACACAAAACTGGATTCCAGCTGCTTAAATGATGGTACGGAACTGATGGCACAGATAAGAAGAGGAGTCCTGAGCTTTGTCTCCTGACCTGTAACCACGAGCTGCCACTACGCATCAGGGTTGGGAACAGAGCCCAAACTGCCAGTCCCCATTGCCAGCCACCCCAGCAGTGCCACCACAAGCTCACTTGGATGCTTGTGGGGATGTTGTGGTGATGGTTTTCGCACTGAACAAGCGACTGCACTCCAATTCTGTGCCTTCATCCAGTAGTCACCTCACAGCAGGAATGTTGCTGGTTTTGAAGTGGCATTTGTCYATAGAAAGTGGTGGTATTCAGAAAATACAGGGAGATGGGGAGTTGCTGCTTTCCTTGTGCAGGAGCGTGTGACGTTTACCCACTGGAGAGGCCCCGTCTTCTGAGAGTGGCTCTGCGCAAGGCCTGGATTACACACAGGAAAACTGGGACTTTAAAGAAGATGTAAGTAGAATAATTCATTTTGCCATCTAGACAGGAGCCTAAGATCTGACACATTTATATTGYGATTCTGTGGCTTGCTCATATCATTACTCTGCACCTCTGCTCATAAGCTTCCACCTAGAAAATTATGTAATTTAATTAGAAATGTGGAATTAGCCTCCTGCAGTCACACTCTGTTGAGCTGGATCAGTTTGTAGATTCCATTGTCCTTTGGGCTGCTAACAATAGATGTTCCATTAGCAACCTCCTTGTCGGTGCAGATTGTGAGGAGCAGAGCAGAGGCGGCTCGGAGTCCCGCASGCTGCAGCTCCTGCAGAGCTGGGCAAACCCACCAGGTGGCAGAAGGAAATAAATGAAACGCCGGCACCTTCCTGGCACACCTTGGTGCCCAGAACACCGCTCCTGGATCTCTCAGCATCCTGGGGGAGAAGGTAACACATTGCCCAGAGAGAAAACATTCCCCTCTCCATAATGATGGCTATGGCCATGAGCTTCCGGGAGCTCCTGTGGKCATTGCATCCACCAGATCCGTGCAGTTCAGAAGGCACTGAAAACAAATCCTGCCTCATGGTTTGGCAGGATATTTCCTACATCAGACAGCGTTTGCATGTTTGTGTCTATCTGCTTCTCTGTCCTCCAGCCTTCTCCAGCCTTGTTCTACAGGGTGCTTTTTGGATCCTCCTGGATCTCTGCGTGGCCCTGTGCGTCAGTCCTGGCAGCTTAAAACAGCAGTACTAAAGGACTAAAACCAGGTCATCCTTCTCCTTGACACGTTTCTAGATTATGAAGAAGAGGAAAACTGTAAGGACGCGAGTATTTTCCAAAAACAAATAAAACGATCTTGATTTGAAGTTCACAAATATCTTTTGAAGGGAGATGGAGAAGGAAGAGTTTAGCCTGCAAACACTTATTTGTCATGCAGTCTGACTAGTGTTTTTCAACACGCTTTGATCCTCCTTTTTTTTTTGGCCCAGGCATTAGATAATGCTTTAGAAGCTATTAGAAAAAATTGTGACAATTGAAATGCTTTGAAAAATGACAGTTTGATAGTCTAATAATAGCCCCTATACTGATCTGGAGAAGGTTTTCTCACTTTTTTTTTTCTACTCATTATGTACAGTACATTGCAAAATGTCCTTTTCTCCTCAACAAATAATTTAACCATTTCTAAGATCTGGAAAACTGAAATATATAGATATTAATAAATGCATATATAGTGAAAGATATATGCACACTATAAGGAACTGGCCAGGTAAAAGGGGAGGGAAGAAACTGGAATTTAATAACATCTTGTTGTTCTTGGAGAAGAAAAGAGAACCAAAAAAGTCTATATTATTAGGGAAAAAATGCTGACTTCTCTGTTACCGATGGCAGGAAACTATTAAAGAAATCTCAAGCTCTCCATGAGCGTGTAGAGTCCGGGCCAAAAGAGCCGGGGGAGAGGCAGRCACGAGAGTTAGACGAAAGAGTGGCCAGGAGTCCTGGGGGACCCGTCGCGAGGTTGGGGGGCGCTGGGACCTCCTGCCACGCTGGCCGCGCGGGGGGACGGCCACGAGGCCACGGAGCCTCYGCCGCAGCCGCCCTCCTGTTTTTGCACCGTCCTGTTTGGCAGCGATAAATGAGCAACTTTGGAGCCTCAGAAGTGATTAATTTCTCGCTGGAGCTGTCTCCGAGGCTGTCACAGCCTGACAATCCTGACATAAGTGTCATTTATAATGTCACAAGTCTATTATACATAAATGTCATTATACAATTACTCTGAGGATGAAGGCAGGTTCACGGGGGGGAAGAGCGTCTGATATTAACTCAATTATAGATCTTAATGTTATTGTTTGGTTGTCCTCCTTCATACAGTTACATTGGGTCTGATTTGTTCATTTTGTGCCAATTACCCAGTATTTATTGCAGTGATACTCCCAGGCAACACAGGTAGGGTTTGCGTGATTAAAACACTGGCACAGCCACACGCGTGGTGCCAAGATTGATACCAACCCGAGGAGCTGGCGCTTTGATAATTAGCCCTCTAGAAACCAGGGCTCCGTGCTCTGCCTCCCCCCACTTTCTTTCCCCCCCATCTCTCTGAAAGGCACCGGCATATGGGTGAGATGATAAATCCTCCATGTGGTTTTGATAAAGATGGCTTGATTTAATGAGGGTGACTTTTTGTGCTGCCTGACAAAAGAAGCTCTTTCTTGTTAGAAGGACAGCGGTTCAGCAAATTCCCCTGCGCTGCACCTCAATTATTCCTTAAAATTGGCGTAAATGTAGCCTCCATTTAGTTCTAACAGGCTTTCATCCTCCTTGGCCCAGACACAAACAGGGCTTTGGCTGTGGCTTGGTGCGCTGCCTGCATCTGAATGCGTTGTGCACACCAAGTAACGTCAGCGAGCCGACGGGCTGGCCAGGAAAGGGAAGGAGATACCTGGGACWGCGCTCCCATTCCCATCTCCCCGGCCAGTTAAAAGTTGTCTCTTTGATTGGAGGTCACTGGATCCCGCTTAATTTTGCGGGCTGAAAAGCTAAGCTGCTTATTGAGATCTAGGCAGAGCCTTGGTTCTGCGGCACAGACCTTGTGCTGGCACCCGCGCTCTGTGCTGCAGCCTGAGCCAGTTCCACAGGTGTGAATTACAGGGAACGGCCAGGAGTTTCCATGATCATCCTTCCGATTTATACTGGGACRACTGGAGGAATCGCTCCCTTTGCCTGCGTGCTGTTCGGGGCCGCTATTGTTCTCAAAGGGACAGCTTTAAAGCAAAAGCTGGTGGAATAATTTATTTGCAAATAATTTATTCAGTGATTGGTGAGAAAAGCTGCTGAATAAATAATTCACTGAATGCTAATGGAACATCAGAGATGGTCAAATAATGAAAATACTTATTTGCAAATAATTTATGGAAAGAAAAATGCTGAAATGTATTGACTCAGTCATTTTTGGTAAATAATCAGCCATTTCTACCCAGCCTAYGGTAACACGTTGTACCAAAACAGTTTCAAGTCTCCAAGAGCTCCACTGGACTGAAGCTAAAGTAAAAGATTTTGGAGGACAGAATAAATAATTCATAAAAACGTGGATTTGGGAGTGAGTCCTGGTGGCTTCTAGCTCGGTTTGGGTAATAAGGAAAGACAGAGCCGACTGCCGCTTGTTTTACATCTTTTTAGTCTGGATTGCTGAGCTCTTTGAACCCTGACAGTGACTAAATGATCTTTCAGCACGAACTTCATGGCGTGGAGCATGCACTGTGGTTCTGATCACATGCTCTTGAGAGGCAAGAACTACATTGACTACAGCAAAATTAAATAAACCAAGCCAAAATTCCTTAGCACAACTGTTCTTTTTCCCCTAATCTCTCCTGTTAGACTGATATCTGAAGACCATTGCTCTTCAGGCAAAAGATACATTGCACAGAGCAGGTATTGAAAGCACTGCGGAGTTCAGCTATTCGTTTGCCACAGGAGATCCTGTGCAATGGGTCTCAGGTGCTCCTGGAACATGAAGGGATTTTGTGCTGATATTAGAGCAACTACCAGAAAAATCTAAATTACATTTAAAAAGAAATCTACCCTTTTATCTTTTAACCTCAAGCCTCTCCTACTCATGCAGAAAAATCAATCAAGACTAATCTACTGTACAAGTGAAAATAAAGAGTCCGTGTAAACATCTATATCATCTTTTGATAACTTTCAGAGAAGTGTATCAAAACCTCCAAAGCGGCTTGTTAGGAGAGAAGCCCCTTGTCCTGAAAGGATCCGTTATTGCTCCTGGAGGGTTTCAGGAAGGAGCAGTGGATACGGTCTGGTTGGTTATCTGGCAGTCTGGTATGACTCTTKTTTTTGTAGAAACCCTGTGCCGTAAGGAATTCAAAGGAATTCGTCTCCAAGCTGTGCCTACCCCCTTGCATCTGCAAGAAGAGCTGGAGCAGTAAAGTTTTTCTGCTGTAGCAAACAAGAAACAGCCTGAGACCATCGACCAGGTAAGAAGAGCAAAGTGGGCTCTATTTCTGCTTGCTGGAGGGTTAAGTATTATCCATAGGAAAAGATGATTATTTTTATGATTTATCTGGTTTATGGATTAGGGTTAGGTAATGGGGGAAAGTACTTTCAGCAGAAGCTCTGCATCTCCTTGCATTCATGTTTTCAGGCTGTAGGGATATGGTTCTGCCCAGACTCTTTTTTTTTTTTTTTTAATAAATTTTGCTTTTTTTCTGATTCATTTTTCTAATTTCTTTATTCATTTCTCCTCTAGTTTTGCCAGTTTTAGGCAAGGATTACAACCAGGAAAAAAACATGATCCTCTAGGAGTCTTTGGTACTTTGTTTTCTTGCCCTTTCWGGAATAGGAAGAGGTCAGGGACGATTTGCCTTCTTGGCTGTATGGGTTTTTTTATGCTTATTTTATAATTTGGTGCAGATTCAGRAACTTGGGAATAAAGATGGTGAATCTCCTGCTTGTGTCTGGCTTTCATATTTAAAAACAAACAACTCCCCTCCACCCCACTCAATTTACATTAATTGCCCAAAGCTGTAAACTTGGGTGCAGATAAGGTCATCCTGCATACCCCTCACTGCTTTATCATCTTGTTTCTCTGCTTCCTCCTGTGATACATTGAAGTAAGCAACATTTTCAAGAGCAGAGGCACTAAATCATCTGTGTATGCATAATCTGGAGTATCTGGTCCAGAATGCTAACAAAGACACAGCAGCAGAAATAAATTGCAACGTAGACCTTGGAGTTGGCTGGGACATACTGAGCAAGAGACAGGAGGGAGGTGGAAATTACTCTATTTTCTCATTGTAATGGGGTCATTTTGATCTCCTGAATCACTTAATTCTCTCTCCTTACAGGTGGAGGAGCAGTGCAGCTGAGAATCTCACYGAGTGAGGGGCATTAGCAGCTCCCAGGGAGGAAGAGGTAAGCTCCCCATGGTTAATGGGCAAGATAAGGTAGGGCAGAAAATATCAAAATGATTTGTAGATGTGAAGACGTCT